GGGTGGTACTAGACATTGAACCCTAGGTCCGGGGATTTGGCCCAGGGTGGGGGATTTGGCTCAGTGGTTCCACCGCCTGCCTCACAAGCACAAGGACCTGAGTTCAATTCCCAGTACCACACACGCACACACACACACACGCACACACACACACTCACACAAAAACAAAAACAAAACCAATAAAACATAGAGATTGAACCCTAGGCTTTTGCACTGAGCTACAACCCTAGCTTTCCCCCTGCTCTCTTCTAAAATTTGAAATATGGTTTCATTAAGTCTCAAAGTTGCCCAGGCTGAGCTTGAACTCGCAATCTGCCTGCCCCAGCCTCCCCCATATCCCTATGCTGGGATAACAGGCATATGCCACCATGACCAGCTCACAATCTTAAAATCATTTTTCTCTGGGGGGAAAAAAATCTAATATATGTGAAGAACTTAGAACAAGGCCTGCATAAAATGACAGCTGCATGGATGTTTCCGATTTCATCATTTTTTTTTAATTCTGGGATATGCCACTGCCCCCACACATGAGCATGGGAGCTCCTTGAACTCGCCAAGGTAAGTCCTGGGCCTGCTCTGAGGAGCAGAGCTGGGAGAGGCATCTGATTTGGCACATTGTGCCTTCGTAGCAGCACCCACTTCCCACGTCGGAACTCACTGACTCCTTCGGTCTCTTCCTTCTCATGCTTTCAGCAGCCTGCTTAGGGAGCCATCAAAGCATGAACTATTAGCATCAAGGAATGGACCACTTTTGAACATCTAGTCCAGACCTCTCTAGAGACGTGTGAGGACCAGAGAGATTGGCTGCTGCCCAGGATCACCCAGCTGCGGAGTGGCTGAGGCAGGAGTGGAACTCAGAGAGCCTGGATTCTTGAAGAGCACCGCCTTTGTCCTGGGCCCTTCAGGAGATGATTTTTACTTGTGTGTTCTGCTGCCCTTCACCAGCTGTCTGACGTCCCCTGCTCTAAGGCCTCTACACTTTCATGCTTGTCCTGGGCAGCCCAGGGTCACTGCTGCAGTTGCCGGGCACCTTCTTTAACCAGCCCTGAGCAGCGTCTCTTCCCTTCCCTAAAATTACTCTGTGTCTTGTTAAGGGGTTAACAAACCACGCCTTTCACAGCTTTACCAGAAGCTGTGCTTGAACCTTTCAGCCTCCTCTGATGTGCCTAATGATCTTAGCTTTGTGTACCACTCCATAGCATGGGGTAGTTTTTGCTTATGCCTGAGGTTTTTCTGTCAAAAGTTGCTATTTTGTGACTCTCCCTGCTTCCTCAGCATGATAGAACAGCTTTTACTGGAGATGCCACCTTTAGTGCAAAAATATTAGTCTCTCAACTCTGGGAATTTCGGGCACCATGGTGAGCCTATCCTGTAGATGATGATGATGATGATTGTGTTAGGGATTCAACCTGTGGCCTTACACATGCTAAGGAAGTGCTGTGCCTCTACATCCAGCTCTGAACTATGATATTTTAAGGGAGACTCTTTCAAGAGTTTCAAGTTATATCCTGCGTTTTCTAATAGGACGCTCTGAGAATACCGTTGGCATTTACTAAAGCTCTGTGTGGGATAAACTGTCTTATTTCATTGTTGTCACAGAGTCACAGAGTAACAGTCTTGTGTCTGCGATGATTCATGGAGTGTTCCTAGAGCCCGGCGGTCTGCGTTAGGCCCCGAGGGCATTTGAAAAGAAGGTTGACACCTACCTGTCTGTCCCCAGGCTGCCCCGAGGTGGATAGGACAGATGCAACCTGAGGAGGGTCCTTTGTTCCTGGGGCATAGAAGGCACATTGTGGAGGAAAGAGATCCAGGAACCATAGGCAATGCCATACCAGCCCTGCATCGCTTTATCTCTAGAATTCCTTTACGGAAAAGAAAAATAAAGTTTTATCTTGTTTAGGCCACTGTTGTTTCTGGGCTCTGTTACTACCTGCCAAATGCAAATCTTTGCTGATATAGAAGTCCTTGAGGATTTTGGAGCAAGGGGCCTGGTTCTGTACAATTGGTGGCTCTGCAAGGACAGACTGGAGGTAGGAGGGAGTGTTCTGGGAATACCAGGAGATAAGGTTGGTGGGCAGGTGGGGACAGGTCCTGAGGCAGACTGAGAATGTATATCTTGCACAGGGTCACTGGCTTTTAAAAAATTTCCCCCAGGACACCTCTGCTAAATTCCTATTATTCCGTGGCTATTTAAGTGGGTAGTTATTGAGTAATTTGCATTCTGCTATTGTCAACTGGCCTGAAAGCTAGGGCGATTGAGATGATGGGTGCTCTTTGTACTTTAAAAAGAAGCAGGCGAAAGCTGGGGCAGGGAAAGCATATCAGTGTTACAGTAAAGTGAAGTGATTACGCTTTTTGAAGTCCCTCAGGCATTTCCAAGGGAAGGAACTTTTGTTACACGGGATTGTTTATCTTGTTTAAGCCACTATTATTTCAGGAGGCGTTTGAAATGTATCCTTGCCTGGATGGCAACTGTAAATAACATTTAAAAATATATCCAGGAGTAACTGGCAGAGTAAAGCTAATTTCATATGCTACAAAGTTCTAAAAGGGGGAAAATTGTGTTTTATTAACTTACTGTATGGTTCATGTAATCACATCGAGCAATGTCAGTCTCTTCAGAGTGAACTTTTCATTTTGAGGTTAGGAGAAATTTAATTATTATTTACATGGGTTATAAAAATGAGCACACAGCTTTAATATAATAAAAATATTACCAGCTTGAGTACTTTAACTCTCATTTTTCATTTAGGAGCATATTTCTCCGATCCTGTTATGAGTGGATACTCTACCTTGCTTAATCCAGGAGGTCCTAGCTGTCCCTTTCAATATTTTTACCTTGCTTTTTTGCAGGAAACCTTAGCTCCACAGCATAGCTCTCCCCTCAGTGGCCAAATTAATATCCCATCTTTCTGTTTCCTCAAAAATGAATTGGCACACAAATCAGGCCTTCTAAAAAAGTTATTTGAGGACTAAAAAATAAAATTGGCATGTTCCTGTTATCCTAATACTCTGAGAGGCTGAGGCAGGAGTATCACAAGTTTGAGCCCCGTTTGGGCAACATATTGATTTAACAAGACACTGTTAAAAAAAAAAAAAAAAAAAAAAAAAAACAAAGACCTAGGGATGCAGGTAGCTCAATGCTGGTTCAATCTCCAGTTCTGGAAAAAAAAATTAGTTTTTGATGCTAAGGATTGAACCCAGGACCTTGTGCATGCTAAGCACAGACTGTACCACTGAGCTACACCCTACTCCTGAATCCTAAAGCTCCTTCCAAACCAGCAAAAAACAAAACCAAGACCTAGGGATGCAGGTAGCTCAATGCTGGTTCAATCTCCAGTTCTGGAAAAAAAAATTAGTTTTTGATGCTAAGGATTGAACCCAGGACCTTGTGCATGCTAAGCACAGACTGTACCACTGAGCTACACCCTACTCCTGAATCCTAAAGCTCCTTCCAAACCAGCATGCATAGGTAATTAGGAGCCTTGATCCAAACAAAAACTTTCAGAGTCCCTTTTGCCATACCCCCATAAACGTGAAAGGGCAGATGAGACTAGGGTTACTTGAAAATTCTTACTCCTTAGTTTTGTGCTCCTAACCTTTACCCTAATCCGGAGAAAAAATACACAAGAATGAACCAACTGTGTAGTAGGTTGTAACCTGGACTCTTTGCTGCAAACTTCCATGCTTTTTCTACTCACCCATTTTAATAGTAGCATATGGATTATCTCTAGTTTATATGATGTCAAATATTCATTTTTGAGTTATATGTTCCTGAAGTTCTTGCTTTGCATTTTGCTATAGTCTGTACACAGGGAAAACAAAACAAAACAAAACAAAAAAGCATACAAAATTGTAAGCTGATGTTCTCTCTCCCTCTCCAGTGAAGTACATAATAACAACAGCTGACATTTTATGGAGCAACTTGGTGTGTGCTAAGCTGCTTAACTACACTATGCTTTTAACCCTGCTGAAAACCCCGGGAAGTAGCTGGATGGATGAAGAAACACTCTGGGAGCTGTTGCTCAGGGCCACACGAGGCAGCAGAGCAAGGGCACAGAACTTGCTGGCTCGGCCTGGGTTTGGAGGCCATCCTGTCATTCTTACAAATAATGTCCAGGGAAGCAAGGCCAGCTGGCTTGGTGGGACACTGGGCCCCACATTTATCCCTTGGCGCTCTGCCAGACTGAAATACCTTATGGTGATTAAATATTTCTGGCCAGCAATACCTTGCCATTATTGAGAAATGATACCCCAACATCTTGAATGATTGTCTCACTCAAAACAAAATGGCCCAGAAGCTCTGTTTGGAATGACTACAAGAGCATCTCCAGCTTGGTGTGCCTCAGTTTCTCCAGAGGTGAGACGGAAAGAACACTGCCACTTTCTGAGGTTACTTTGGGGTGGAGAGAAATGGCGGATGCCACCCTGACTGCCACAGGACTCTTTAAAGTTGGGAAACCCCCTCTCAAAGAACGAAGGTCAATTCATGGTGAGAGAAGCCAGTACCCCAGTAGAGGAAGTTTTAATTTGAATTGCCTTTTGTTTTTTAAGTCTCCGTGGATTGAGGTACTTCTCAGAGACCACCTCCTTCACCATAGGGAAGAAGGACCAGATCAAAAGCCTTGTATTTGCTAATCTTGACTGTTGGTTTCCCACCTCCTCCTGTACTTTGGGTAAGTGTAGGTAGCTAGGAGCCAAGTGTTGTTTACTAATTTGTGTATTAAGTGAGGATCTCATGAAAAGGGTCACTTCCTCTATGTGATTGAAGAACTCCAGGGAGCCCATTGTCCCAGCTATTGGGGATGCTGAGGTAGGAGGATTACCTGAGCCCTGGTGTTGGGAGCGGTGTGGCTAAAAAGATCTCCCAGGGGTCCTAAAAAGATCTTCTTTTGATCCTGTCACCTAGGCCCCTGGGTTTAAGCTCTGGAAAAGCCATTTGCTTTCTGATGGGGCTAGATGAGGAAAAAGGTGGATCTGATTAGTTGAAATCTAAAGCAGTTTTTCTCGAGGGGACATTGCCATCTGCTAGGCCAGGACAAACTTGTAGGTTGAGCCATTATTTTTGTGCCTAATCTCTCCTAATTTATGAGGGACACTAGTGCTTCCCTAGCAAGTGGTGGTCATGATCACCTGAAAGAATGTACCTAGAAGAGGGCTGGGGATTTAGCTCAGTGGTTCTGCCGCCTGCCTTGCAAGCACAAGGACTGGAGTTTGACCCCAGGTACTCCCCAAAAAACAAAACAAAACACCCCTAAACAAAACAATAAAAAAAGAATGTTATCTAGAAGAGCTTAATAATTTGTTGTCATTCCGTGTGAAAATGGGGACTCACAAAAGCGCTACAGAATGCAACTGTTATTGAGAGCAGCATGAGTCAGAATCACGCCTAATGGGAAGATGCTGGTTTATGAACACGCGTGGTGAGTTTTCAAATGTACCCCTTTCCTTAGCACCCATTTCCATCCCTTGTTCCTTTCCCTCCATCTGTGTAGTGTATGCAGGAAAACATCCTTCCGTTCACTTTTAGCAGGTGGAACATTGTCTTTCTTTCTCTTGGTTGTTTTGTTCTCAATGAGGTGAACGCTGATCACACATTATTCTTTACTTGGGGAACACTGAGAACAATTCAGAGCCAAAGTCATGTTGTAACACTCCTTGACAATCTGACGCAACAGGCCTGAGCTTTGAAGACTAGGTGTGTTTTCCTTAGGGATGAGGTGTTAGAACTGCTTCTTAGAGGCCTGTGCCTCATCCCCGAGCACAAACATGCTGATCAAGGGAGAATTGGGCCATGTTGGTGTGATATAACTGCATCAGGGCTTGAAATGAGCTGTTCTGCAATCATCTGGTCAGGTCATTAAGATTAATAAAATAGCTGGGCACAGGGGTGTGTACCTGTAGTACCAGTTGCTAGAGAAAAGGGAGCAGGAGGACTGCTAGGGCCCAGGAGTTCAAGGCCACTGTGGGCAAGAGAGCGAGACACTATTTAAAAAAACAAAATTAACGAATGTGAAGGAGAATTATCTAACACAGAGTTGAGGATGCACCTTTGTTCAACATTTCGGAGAACATCTATCTTGGAAGGAATTCTATGTTAGTCACCTTTCTTTCTCCCTCCCTGCCTTCTTTCCTTTCTTCTAGGACTCAAACCCAGGGCCTTGTTCATGCTAGGCAAGCTCTAAACCCTTCCCACTTTCTTTCCCATAAATGTGCGTTGTGTACTAGGCATGTAAAGCATTATTCTTGCCCTCAAGCCCTCAAAGAGCTCAAAGGTGTGTGTGCGTGTGTGTGTGCGTGCGCGTGCATGCGCAAGAGAGAGAAGGAGAGAGAACATGGTATTGTGAGTTTTGCACATTAAAATAAATACATGTGAACAACTTTTATGAGAGTGCACAGGGGGAGACAACTATGGGAAGGCTTTGCTAAGGAGATGGGACTCTAAATACTGAATGTTTGTGTCCACCAAGATGCATATACTGAACCCTAATTACCAGTGTGATGGTTAGGGTGGGGCCTCTGGGAGGTCACAAGGCCATAGTGAGTATGAGTAAGATTTGTGCCCAGTGAAAGAGAGCTTGCTAGTTCCTTCCAACATGTAAGAATGCAGAAGGTGCCTTGTATGAACCAGAAAGCAGAAATGAATTTGGTAGAGGCGTAATCTTGGGATTTTCCACCTCTGGCATCATGAGAAATAAATTTCTATTGTTGAAAAGCCACCCAGTTTATGGTTTCTCTACATCCCCAGGTTCTGAATCCATCAACAGTATTTTGAAGAAGAAATTGTGTCTGTTCCGAACATGTGGAGACTGCCTATTCTTGTCATTATTCTAGCAGAATAACCATGGGGTCTGGTGATACACACCTGTAGTCCCAGGTGACATAAACTTGTAATCTAAGGCAGGAGGATTCCAAGCTTGAGCCTAACCCAAGCAATTTAACGATGTGGCAAGACCCACTCTCAAAAAAAAAAAAAAAAAAAAGTTATAAAGCCTGGATATGTAGCTCAGGGCTAAGGCCCTCAATTCAATGTCCAGGATTGAAAAAACAAAACAAAACCCACAACTACTCACATAGCATTCACCTTGTATTAGATACTATAAGTAATCTAGAGATAATTTAAAGTATGAGAACAAAGTCTTCATATGAGAAATATATAAGAACTTTTAAAATGTAACAACAATTAAGCAAATAAGTAAATAACTAAGCAATTAAGCAACTGATTTTGAACAGATATTCCATGAAAGAAGATATATGGATGGCTGATAAGCACACAAAAATATGTTCAGTGTCATTAGTAACTAAGAATCGCAAACGAAGGGCCGGGGATTTAGCTCAGTGGTTCTGCTGCCTGCCTCCAAAGTGCAAGGTCCTGAGTTTGATGCCTGGTACCAAAAGAACACCAGAAAACAAACTGAAAAACGAACTGTGGTGCATGTATGTGATGGGATACTACTCGGCAATAAAAAGAGAAGAACTGTTGATACATGCACCAACTTGAAAGACGCTAGTTGCTACATGCCTGTAATCCCAGCACTCAGGAGGCTGAAGCAGGCTGGACTACATAGCGAGACTCTTAAAAAAAAAAAAACCCAGATAAAAAAGATTACATAACATACAATTTAATTTACATAAATTTCCTAGAAAAGCAAAAGTAAAGGAACAGAAACCA